ATTATTATTATTATTATTACTGTCATCATCGAGAGCATGACATCACAGTTCAACACTGATGCTTCGCTGCCGTATAACTATGGCTTATTTGAACGCCTTATTGTGGAGAATGAATAAAAGTGGATAGGGATGGGGCTTAGTGGTAGCCCACCACAATCATTCTGGGGCACTCACACGTCCAGACGCTCATTCGAGCAGTCTGGATAAAAAACTGACAACAATAGTGCCACTGTCATCGAATAGAAATCATCTTGCAGCGTTTCTAACTAGTTGCAACAGGGATCACGCACTCCCCATCCTGGAAGACAAATCACACTGACAGTATTCAAACTCTTCGCAATCTCTTTCGTATCCCTATACCAGGTCACAGGTTAACCACATTCCTGTTTGCGCCACTCTCAGTTGGGTACGGAAATCAGCACTCTTCGGAAAACGATGGTTCGAAATGAGCAATATATGGCCTAACCAGCACAGCTTCTGGTGCTGAACACATTCTTCAATGGTTTCACCGACACTTACCCACACGATCTATGGTTCTGAAACAACGGTTGTCGAACACCTGAAGACGTCTCAGTTCCGCACACACAACACAGCCCGCGCTGTATCTCGGCGTCGGGTTTACAAGCCAATTTGGCTAGCTGACCAGGAATGGTGAAAAGTAGTATATCCGATTACGATAGATACACGCAGGACTTGAAAGGGTTGCTGACTTGGGTGGACACTAGTCTAGAATTCCTGTGGGTTCGATGTTCATGGCATTTATGGCTTGTGCCCGGTCGTCGATCAGTCGACATCAGAAGTCCAAATATTAGACACGTAGGCTTAGAGCTGTGGCGCCTGAGCCCATCACTCAGAGGAGTGCTGCCTTCAAAATCGCAGGGATTTGTTTGGTTGAAATTGCTTCAAGAGCATTGGACAAGTCGAAGGATAATGATGCTGGGCAAGTAGTTGTTAGAACCAGAACAACAGGCACCTCTACGAATGGAGAGGAAAACCAAGTCTTCGACCACTACCACCACCACCACTGAGGAAAACATTGCTTGGACAGGAACTGGAAAAATGTAGCTACACAACGAGCTTCGATAAGGACGAGACCTGCTTTGGGCTACGAAATGTTTTTAACCACGTCGTCAGTACGGGGTGGAGTGGGTAAAGTCCTCCCCTTTTGCCTGTACCTATATAGCTTCTAAACAGCATCTGATAGTTCGAATGCGATTGTTTGTCCCGGAGTGGTCTTCGCATAATTCAATTGGTCACTTAGGAATGGGAGTTGTGTTCTGGTCTCATTCCCTTGAATCTAGTTGGTTCGTTGGGTGAATTCAGTTCGACAGTACTGTTTCTTGTGATCGGGTCGCTCTCTTCTTGCTTTGCGATCCGAATTCGTCCCACATGATTGCTTGGTTCAGTAGCCTCCTGCTTTTAGTAGTTGTCTTTCTTTGATTCCATCGGTTTGTTGGTTATCGTTAGGTTGTGGCCCGTCTCGGGGTCCCCGTCCAGGACTTGCTTTGCGAATTCGTCCCACATGATTGCTTGGTTCAGTAGCCTCCTGCTTTTAGTAGTTGTCTTTCTTTGATTCCATCGGTTTGTTGTGTTGGGTTAGGTTGTGGCCCGTCTCGGGGTCCCCGTCCAGGAAGACGACAATGACCAGCGCAGCTGAGTTTGCTGGTAATGGCTTTCATACTTCGCTGCCAAGTCATTGTTTGACCGCCTCGGGCTCTCTTCCACCCTTCACATGGTTGGGCGAAAAGAGCCCTTCGAGGAAGTCGGTCGACTGGCATAGGCAACACATGGCCAAGCCAGCGCAACCTATGCAGCATCATCAGTTCATCTATCGAGGGTGAGTTATTCTTCCCGAATACCATTCGACGTACTTCAGAATTGCTGATCCGGTGTTCCCACCAGATTCGGACAATGCTCCGAAGACATCGATGGTCAACCACTGAAAGTCTTTTGACGTCCTCGGCG